GGAGGAGCACATATGGGTGGCCGCTTCTGAAAACAACAAAGTTCTGTCCAACCCTCTTCTATTGAAATATACCACAACTGTGGAAATAATCATACTTCACACATTGTGGGGTCCAGTAACTTTACTGGTGTAGCAGTAATAATGGTTTCATGTTAATATGTGTCACTGCTAAATATAGTAAATTAAATATAGTAACATGGAGTAGAAATTGAAGAAATACTTTATGATTATAATATTGGTTATGTTAATTCAAGTTTTTGTCAGATATTAAATATGGTTTCAATATAAGAACACAAAAATATAATGTTTTCTCTAACCTTTGAAGATATTGTCAATTTCAATGCAATTTATGAATCTTAAAATTTTGGCTCAGTGTAGTTATGTCAAATAAAAAAAATTGCAGTGGCCTTCTAAATAGAGTAATATGGAGATATTTTACATAATCCTTGAACCAAGCAAGTTTTGGTGAAAACGCCCTGAAAATTTTCTTCCTTAACCTCTTATTTATTGATTTTAATTATAAAAAAAAAAAATTATTCCAGAATATAAAAAATCTCTAAAATGTATTAATCAGGTCTTGTTTAGAATCTATGTACATTTTGCTCTGTGACACCGCATTTTATGCTGTTAGCCTGTATTCCTCTTTTACTTTGATTTGCTGCCACCGTTTGGTGAAAATGTTACACAGGCGATGAGAGACTCATTCAGTCGTGTGTAACAGAGGGCCTTTATTATGTGAAAACAGAATAAGATTACAGTATAATGGCTGCCCTGTGCTGACTTAACTGTACAGGTTCGGCAATAACTAAACTGAGCTGCTTCTGCACTTATGCTACATAAACTAATATCTCAGTAATTACACAGTTTTATTCAGTTTCTGTTATACATTTGCAAAATAAAACATGTTTATCTTAATAAACACCCTGGAGTGTAGTTTACAAAATTTGACAATTAATAAAGGTAAATCTGTAGTCTTAGGAAGCCTAGTTGGAAGTCCCCCTAAATAAATTGAATTACTTACCCACATTCAATCAGGGGCCAATCAGCGTTGGACCTCACCTCCTTGAATTTCAATCAGCATTTAGAGTCCAACTTAAAAGACTATCAAATCCACACCTGTCTGCGACCCAACCGAGCTCCTGCACAGCTGGATTGGATGTCAGGTTTGTACTATGGTGACCCTGATTCAACATAATTTCTCCATCATCGCCTCCAATCTTTGATGGATTTCATTTTGGGCTATTATCTCAGCCTGTCGAACGCCCGATGTACAAGCCAGCTTTAATAAATTAACATAATCTAGCTGTTCTGGCTCATGATCTAGCTACTCTTCAATGCCAGTTTAAAATTTCCCTATCAAATCAGTTTTCATAATGAAAATTAATACATTTAAAAATTGTATTTGGATGAATATGTTTAATGAATTGTCAGTGTCCTTTAAAAAGAGTTTAGCAAAGATTGCAGATATTTATGCTACATTTCAAGCACTCAGAAAGATCTTTATGTAGCATATTTGGACATCTATTGGTGAAGTGAGAAGGACAGATATGAAAAATAGATACAATTTAAGTCAGATTAGTCTTCTATTGACATTTATTAAGAGTCTTTTTATTTATGAGTATTAATCATAAAATTTGTAACTATTAGATCTAAATTAGTACGTATGCACAAACTGTGTAATTAAAGACTTACAGGAAGAGACAAAGAGTTAAAGGAATGTATACTGTATAACAAGCTTCAGCACACATTTCATTGTGGAAAATGTAATTGTTTTAATTTGAACAAAAATGTATGTCTGAAAAGTGTGACGTCTCATTTCTGCCAGCGCAGGACCCTCACCATGGCCAAAGCTCATACATATAGCATACTAAACGTCTCATGAATAAAACGTTTTTTTTTGTTTTGTTTTTTTTCGTTTTAAGTGAGAAACATCACTTGAATTAGAAATAAACTGATAATTAAAGACTTACAGGATAATTAAAGACTTACAGGAAGAGACAAAGAGTTAAAAGAATGTATACTGTATAACAAGCTTCAGCACACATTTCATTGTGGAAAATGTAATTGTTTTAATTTGAACAAAAATGTATGTCTGAAAAGTGTGACGTCTCATTTCTGCCAGCGCAGGACCGTCACCATGGCCAAAGCTCATACATATAGCATACTAAACGTCTCATGAATAAAAAGTTTTTTTTTGTTTTTTGTTTTTTCATTTTAAGTGAGAAAAATCACTTGAATTAGAAATAAACTGGGCTTGCTTTGGTGTTGCAGTGTATAGCGCACACAACCCATGAACTGTATGGAGGACCAACTGTCCAAAAACGAGCCACTATTGACGTTAAAACACCCCCTCAAAAAAAAAAAGTTAACTAATGGAAATTGCCTCTGTAATAGCTTTTTCTTTTAATAAGCCATGTTGCTTGCTATGATCATGGGTTTGTTACACACACATATATATATATATATATATATATATATATGCATTTATTTATTTTTTTTGCTGTTCTATCTACCATTACTCAAAGAAAATGGATGCACACATATTTTATGGGTGTAAGGAACAAGATCAAATAATTAGACTAATTCACTCTGACAGTGGCAACAATGAGCTTGAGGAGAGACAATGAGGCAAAGTGGCTCTCAGAATCAGGATTGAGGGAGAGTTTGGAGATAAGCGTTTTGTTAAGTAAAGTGGAATACTATATGAAATGCCCATGTGTTTGTGTGTGTGTATATTTATGTTTTTTTAATACACTAAGGGGCCCATTTTACCCATGAGGTGAATTGCTGTTTTAAGGTCAGGGGTCACATTTAGGACAAAGGTGTGAAGTAAGTTTAGGTTGGTGTTAGGGTTAGGTATACACCTCTAATGGTTAGGCGTTAGACACTCTCTCGATGACCCCCCACCCACCCAGTCCGACGACTCAGGCAGTTGGTTAGAGGATCAAAGGCATTGCACAGGCCGGCGCACGTTTGTTGGTATCTCTCAGATCCACAGCCAAACCAGTTTGCAGAACTTGGAGAATTAGGGTTAGGTTTAGGGCTAGGGTCGGGGCTAGGTTTAGGGTCAGGGCTAGGTTTAGGTGCAGGGCTAGGGTCAGGGCTAGATTTAGGGTCGGGGCTATGGTCAGGGCTAGGTTTAGGTTCAGGGCTAGGGTCAGGGTTAGGTTTAGGGCAATGGTCAGAGTTAGGTTTAGGGCAACGGTCACAGTTAGGTTTAGGACAACGGTTTAGGTTAGGGTTAGCAGCTAATTGTCCTGGTAAGGTGATATGTGCTATAGGTGTAGTGTAAGGGTAGGATAAGGTATGGGTTTTATAGAGGTTATGATTAATTGAAGACAAACATATTAATTTAAATTTTTAGATCAATGGAGGAAGCAGAGTCAGGGTAGACCGCCCTGGAATGGGCTAAGTCGACCCCCGCCGGTCTGGCATGTAAACTCCGCCTCCTCCACTCCCTGCAGTTGTAGACTGAGGGAAGAGAGGTAGGTAGAGGGAAATGTTTTAGAAATCTACACTTTTGAAGACTAATATTGGTAGGAATTATTGTATTATTTAAGGGAAAGGTTTTGGGTTAGGGTTAGGTTAAATCATGGTGAGATGGTCATGTTAAGACTTCGTCTCAAAAGATATCCATGTTTAATACCGAGCATATCATGGTGGAATGGTCATGTTCATCTCAAAATATATCAGAGTAGTATTAGGTTAATCAATCTTGGAGTTTTATAGAAGATCTATTATGGTTAGTTGTCATGTTAGGACCTCATTTGAAAAATATTAAATTTTATTATTACTTTGTCAAACTTAGGTTTTTATTAAAAGGCAAGATATGAACTAGAGGAGAAACTGTAAATAATTTAATTTAAGATAAACATAAATTTTAATTAGAATTTAATGTAAGTCAAAGTAAAGGCCACACAAAGATGGGAGACAAGTTTGTGTGTTGTGGGGTTTATTTATATTATGGTGGGGACCCTTTTCCATAAATCTTATTCCCAAGTTCATTCATTCATATATATATATATATATAGACAGAATTTCTAGGCTCAGCCAGGGATGGGAGGGTGTCTGATTTGGGAACTTTAGGATATCATCTCTGCTGCTTGCAGATGAGGTTGTCCTGTTGGCCTCATCAAACCAGGACCTCTGACATGCAGTGGGGCAGTTTGCAGCCAAGTGTGAAGCGGCCGGCATGAGGATCAGCACCTTCAAATCCGAGGCCATGGTTAGGTGTAGGGTTAGGGGTTAAGGTTAACCAACGGTCAGTTTGTTTCTTCTCATTATTTATAAGTTGCCTATTAACCAGCTGTTTTTATTGTAAAAGGCAATAACAGACCTCACAGATCTTTAAAGATATTAAGTTTATGTTTTATTTGATTTTATATGCTAACCCAGCAAAGATAAACTTTTATTCAAATTTTGCTCCTTAAACTAAACTTTATCAGTCTATCAGGCATCATAAAATTACATTGTAGTTTTTGTTTGAAACAAATTCAGCTAAAAAGCAGCACAGAGGCAAAATATGTTTATACTGCAGCACTATTTATTTGTAAATATTAGGAAAATACAACTGAATATCTAGCATCCACTCATAAAAATATAAAGCACACAAGATTTTTATGAAACAAAGAACTTACAAGAATTAGAAATAATTTTTGATAGCTATGCTAAACAGTTTCCACAAAGCAAAACAATATTGATGGTTATAAAATGAATAAATTTTCAGAAGCAGAACTGAAACCTCTCTCTCTCTCTTCTACCAGAATCAGTTGTTCTCATTAAAAGGTATCAATACCTTATCGACATCTATATATTTATTTATACTTAGCAAGTCATTTCAGTTCAATAATACTTAATTAATCCACAAGGCAAATCAGCAAGGAGCAAAATAGGACCAAAATGAATGAAGTCAAAACTATACAATTACTTGTGTATTTAAAAAGATTTTTGCTAAATATTGATATCACTTACATGCTTTTTAAATCATGCCCTATGAAACATTGTAAACGATCGGATCAGCTTCAGTTTTTCACTTACATCGTGCTTCTATTCACAACCCCGAGTCCGAACATCAGCATAGATACTTTGTCCCTCGGCTGCCTTCGCACCTCTCTTCACTTTTAGCTCGGTCTTCCTCTTAGTAAATTTTGGTTCAGAATAAACCAAAACATCTTCATTTGTCTGCAGGAAGAAATCATTAATAATGGAGAAAAGTCACAAGATCCAATCACTGACTGATGTCACCAACTTACCAATTGACTTTGCTGGCCAGCAGTTATTTCAGAACGCGAGGTGGCCCCTAAATTATAGAATGAAACAAAATTATTCAGGAGAAATATTTTATAATAAAAGACAGTAATGTTACATAGAATAACGAGGTTTTAATACCAGTAACAGCATTCTTTACTTTCTGGATGGTGTGGATTAGATAGACAATAACAGTCAAGCTGATTACCAAAGCAGCACACAGAACAATGACCATAGTTATCCCCAGAGAAAGAGACGAAGATGATCCTGGAAATTAAACAACCAAAAAACGTTGTATAGTGCATAGAATAAAAATAAGTATGACTTAGCATTGAGGATTCTGATTATTTGTAAACTAGTGACGAAAAAAAGAAACAGTTTACCAAACATATGTCAGTTATACCTTGGATTTCCAATTTGGTTCTGTTTCCAAACAGCATCTGTCCACATTTGGCCACAGCACAGTAATACGTTCCGGCATCAGAGGATGAAGTTATAAACCAGTGAACCCTTGGATGATCTGAACATGAGAGGCTGTCAGCATCAGAGATAACTGAACACCGAAGGGTCACAGAGTCTCCTAGAAGCACTGGAAGGGATGGGAGCTCTTCAACAATCGTAGATATTTTAGCGTCTGATTCTGCTAAATAGAGAAACAAAAGTTTAGTTTATTCTTAAAAATCAACATAAAATGCATTGAATATCTACATCATCCATTTAAAGTGAGAAATCAACCAGATTACATCAGCAGCACTTTGCTGCCTCAGGAAGATATTAGATACTAAAAACTGAGCTTCAACAAGAGAATAATTATTTTTAATTACCTTCAACACTCAAAAATATTGTAGTTAAAATGATTTTTCGTAGCTCAATAACTTGTTCGCAGTAGTAGAAAGCCATATCACTCATTCTTGTTTGCTGTATTTGGAGAAGAAAAGTTCCTGGTTCTTGTTTGGTTATAATATGTGGAGTTCTATTAATGGCGAAGTGGTTAAAAGTGAAAGTTGCTCCTAAAACCTTGGGTGAGTTTCCAACATCAAATTTCATCCAGTAGAGAAAACCTGTCAAATTAGCACTTCGGGGACATGTTAGAGTGACATCTTCTCCAGCGGTCACAATTTTTGCTGTATATTTTTGTGTACATCCTGAAATACAAATTAAATGCATTTAAAATTTAATATCGAACACCAAATAATGTAAGATTGACAACAATACTCACCTCCAACAGGGAAGAGGAGAACTGTACATATTATGATCATCATTGTTCTGGTATTTCAGCTGAGGCATCTAATTAACATTTTTATAAGCTTATTTAATGGGAGGAGCACATATGGGTGGCCGCTTTTGAAAACAACAAAGTTCTGTCCAACCCTCTTCTATTGAAATATACCACAACTGTGGAAATAATCATACTTCACACATTGTGGGGTCCAGCAGCTTTACTGGTGTAGCAGTAAAAATGTTTTCATGTTAAAATGTGTCACTGCTAAATATAGCGATTAAATATAGTAACATGGAAGAAATAATATCTTGATTTTTTTTATATTGGTTATTTTGGTTCGAGTTTTTGTCCGATGTGGAATATGTTTTCTATATAAGAAGTCCAAAATGCAGTGTTTTAGCTCTGTGTAGTTATGTCAAAAAAAATAAATAAAAATTGCAGTGACCTTGATGTTTCCTAGTTCTATTATGATCTGCTGTTTTGTTTAAAAAAATCATGGACATTTATGTAGAGTAATATGAAATAACCTTACAAAATCCCTGAACCAAGCAAGTTTTGTTGAAAGAGAAACAAGAAATGCCCTGGAAAATTTCTTCCTTAACCTCTCATTTATAATTTTTTACAACAAAAAATCAAACTTTTGCTCCAGAATTTAAAAAATCTCTAAAATGTATTAACCAGGGATTGTTTAGAACCTATCTACATTTTGCTCTGTGACACCGCATTTTATGCTGTTAGCCTGTATTTCTCTTTCACTTTGATTTGCTGCCACCGTTTGGTGAAAATGTTACACAGGCGATGAGAGACTCATACAGTCGTGTTTAACAGAGGGCCTTTATTATGTGAAAACAGAATAAGATTACAGTATAATGGCTGCCCTGTGCTGACTTAACTGTACAGGTTCGGCTATAACTAAACTGAGCTGCTTCTGCACTTATGCTACATAAACTAATATCTTAGTAATTACACAGTTTTATGCAGTTTCTGTTATACATTTGCAAAATAAAACACGTTTATCTTAATAAACACCCTGGAGTGTAGAGCTAGATTGCATGTCAGGTTTTTACTATGGTGACCCTAATTCAACATAACTTCTCAATCATCGTCTCCAATCTTTGATGAATTTCATTTGAGCTCTTATCTCAGCCTGTTGAACACTGGATGGATAAGCAAGCTTTAATGAATAAACACAATCTAGTTTTTCTGGCTCATGATCTAGCTAAGGGGTGCTGAAGTACAGTCCTCAAGAACTACCTTCTTGTAACTTTTAGATGCATCTCTTCTGTAGCACACCTGAATCTAAAGCCTCAATCCCCTCATTTAGCCCAGGAGAGGCGTGGTAACGAGCCACTCATTTGATTCAGGTGTGTTAAAAATGGTTGCATCAAATAGTTGCAGGATAGTAGCTCTTGAGGACTGGACTTGAGCACCCCTGATCTAGTTATTCTTCAATGCCAGTTTAAAATGTCCCTATCGAATCAGTTTTATAATGAAAATAAATACATTTAAGAGTTTTATTTGGACGATTGTTTTTAATAAAATGACTGTGTCCTTTAAAGAGTGTTTAGCTAATGTCTTTATATTCACATTAAAAACCGCTACAGGTGCATGAATGAAAAATCCAACAGGAAAATTTATATTAAATAAATAATCATTACCTGTCTAGGCTTCCAGAACAATAAAACTCACCAGTTTGTAACAATCCTTCTATCCAACATGCGCACAGTTTAAGACACAGTTGTTCACCGTGCAGCACGGTTCTCATTTTTCTACTTTTTTTTTGTTTTTTGCTAAATTCAAGTACATAATGAAGCAAAAGACATAAACAGGGGTCATCAGCACATTCTCTGACATGATGGCTGCAGCCCCTACGTAGATGTGAGGAGCTAAAGGAAATCCGACATCTATTGGAGAAGTGAGAAGGACAGATGTGAAAAATAGATAAAATTTAAGTCAGATTTGTCTTCTTTTGACATTTATTAAGATTTTTTTCATGAGTATGTATGTAGTATGTGTGAGGATAAATCATGAAATGTATAACTATTATATCTTTAGTTAGTATGAATGCAAAAACTGTATAATTAAAGAGTTACAGGGAGAGACAAAGAGTTAAAGGAATGTATACTGTATAACAAGCTTTGGCACACATTTTATTGTGGAAAATGTAGTTGTTTTACTGTGAACAAAAAGTTACGTCTGAAAGGTCTGATGTCTCATTTCTTCCAGAGCAGGACCCTCACCATGGACAAAGCAGGGCTCATGCATATAGCATACTAAACGTATCATGATTAAAAAGCTATTTTGCTTTTTTTTTCATTGTAAGTGGGATCACTTGCATTGAAAGTAAACTAATGGAAGTTTGCACATCGTGCAGATCTGATGTTGTTCTGGTCCTCAATTTACTCATGGGACTTGTGCTGTTTGGATTAACTGAGTGTGCAGCTGTTGCAGCTGTCCAGAGGAATTCCACCCGAAGTTAAGTTATTTTCTCTGTGATATCTCTAACTGACTACTTTAAAACATAGCACCTTCTGCTGCACTTTTCTACTGAGCACTTGTCAGTTTCACACTGTTTTATTTCTGATAGCAAGGAGTAGCTAGCCTAGGCTAGCGCTAGCTTAGCATTGCTATGGCTTCTCTCTCTCCCTCCCTTGACTCTTTTCCAACTCTTCCTTCTTCCTCTCCTCTCTCCTGCTCTCTGTGTCAGATGTTCAGTTATTCCTCTGCCTCCTTTAGTGATAATGGTATGTGTAATAAGTGTAGTATTTTTGTAGCTTTGGAGGCGAGGGTGTCAGAGTTAGAATCCAGGCTTCAGGCTGTTGAACATCCAGGAGTTAAAGTAGGCCCCCCACGTAGCTGTCCTCCAAAAGTGCCTGAGCAGCCAGGCGATTGGGTAACTGTACGCAGAAAGCGTAGTCGTGGATCTCTGCCCACTGGTCACCACCAGCCCGTTCACGTTTCTAACCGGTTTTCCCCACTCAGTGACACACCCACTGAGAAGCCCACTCTGGTGATTGGCAGCTCCATAGTCAGAAACGTGGCATTAGAGACACCAGGGACCATAGTCAAATGTTTGCCGGGGGCCAGAACGGGCGACATCAAATCCTACCTGAAACTACTGGCTAAGGATAAGGTTAAATACAGTAAGATTGTTATTCACGCTGGTGGTAATGACACCCGGTTACGCCGATCGGAGGTCACTAAAATTAGTGTTGCTTCGGTGTGTAAGTTTGCCAAAAAAATGTCGGACTCCGTAATTTTCTCTGGTCCCCTCCCTGATCTGACCAGTGATGACATGTTTAGCCGCATGTCGTCATTCAACCGCTGGTTGTCTAGGTGGTGTCCTGAAAACAAAGTGGGCTACATTAATAATTGGCAATCCTTTTGGGGAAAGCCTGGTCTGATTCGGAGAGACGGCATTCATCCCACTTTGGATGGTGCAGCTCTTCTTTCTAGGAATCTGGCCACATTTATTAGTCCTCCAAAACCCTGACCACCCAGGGTGCAGACCAGGAAGCAGAGTTGTAGTTTAACACACATCTCTGCAGCTTCTCTACTGTTACCCACTCTTTACTCCATCCAGACAGTGTCTTGCCCACAACCAAAATCTAATAAATTAGCAAATATTCCTAAAGGAGTAAATCATGATAATCTAATTAAAATAAAAATAACTCCAATTGGGGAAAAAGTTAAAACAATTAAATGCGGTCTGTTTAACATAAGATCTCTTTCCTCTAAAAGTCTGCTAGTTAATGACTTGATTTGTGATAATCACATTGACTTGTGTTGCCTTACAGAAACCTGGCTGCAGCAAGAGGATTATGTGAGCATAAATGAGGCAACTTCTTCAAGCTATTTAAATTTTCACATACCCAGAAGTTCTGGGCGAGGAGGAGGAGTAGCAGCAATCTTCCAGTCTGACTTACTGATTACTCCCAAAACAGTTAATACCTACAACTCTTTTGAACATTTAACCCTTAATTTCCCTGATCCAAATTTCAAGGCAAGAAAACCTCTTCTTTTTGTAACTTTGTATCGTCCACCAGGTCCTTACTCTGAATTTTTAGATGAGTTTTCAGAGTTCCTTTCTGATTTGGTATTAAAAACTGACAGGGTCATCATAGTGGGAGATTTTAACATCCATGCTGACATTGAAGGTGATAGCTTAAGAGCAGCCTTTAATGCTATCTTAGACACTATTGGCTTTGTTCAAAATGTGAATAGTCCCACACATTCTCATCTTCATACTTTGGATCTTGTGCTGACATACGGCATAGAATGTGAAGAAATAACAGTATTTCCTCACAACCCTGTCCTCTCTGACCACTTTCTAATAACCTTCAGGATTACTTTAACAGAGTTCTCCTCCCCCAAAAGAAGGTTACATTTTAGTAGATCTTTATCAGATAGTGCAGTTATAAATTTTAAAGAATCTGCTTCACTTTCTCTCTCCTCTTTGTCGCTGAGCAGTGCTGCAGAATGCAAAAGCATAGCTTATTCCCCTTCACAGGTTGATGATTTTGTTGATGGGGTTGCTAGTTCTCTGCGTGCTGCCTTAGACAATGCAGCTCCTTTGAAAATGAAAACCGTTAAAAATAGAAAGCTTGCTCCTTGGTTTAATGCAGAGCTGCGTACTTTGAAGCAAAATGCTAGGAAACTGGAGAGAAAATATCGCTCCACAGGCCTGCGGGAGTCCTTCCTAGTCTGGAAAAATGGTTTACTGCTGTATAAGAGGACCCTTTGTAAAGCAAGAGCAGCATACTTCTCCTCATTAATAGAGGAGAATAAGAATAATCCTAGATTTCTTTTTAATACAGTTGCCAAACTCACCCAGAGCCATAGCTCTGTTGAACCGTCCATTCCACCTGCTCTTAGCAGCAATGATTTTATGGGATTCTTTATAAATAAGATTGATCTTATTAAAAATAAGATCATAAGCACTCCTCTATCCGCGATTGTACCTGAGGTAGTCATGGAATCTGAACCGGGTTTAGACTGCTTTGATCCAGTTGAACTCTCTGAATTAGCAAAATTATTGTC